GCAATTTAAGCTGCAGCTTAAACAAATTCTTTTTTGGCTTCATTCTATTGAATTTCTTTATTTGGTATAATATAGGAATGAGTTTGTAATACATTATTCTTTAATAAATATGTAGATGTAGTAGAATCATCAACAACTATATTCTACAATTTTGCTCCTGCACCAAATTCCAATGCTTTCATATATTATTCATCCTTTACTTCAAACAAACTAAACAATTTACCATATACTCTATTTTAATCCCAATCTTTCATCCTTGATAAATTCAACTAAAATATAAAAGGTTATGATTATGATATTTATTTCTTAATTTCTAATAATTATTAATCTAAATCTCCTCTATTTGATTTAAAATCTAATAATTATTATTCTAAGGTTGATGACTTTTGAATTTCTGTTTCACTTTATTCTATTCTTTTTTTTAATAGATCAATTTTAGTATCTAAATTAGTTGCTTCTTTTTACATTTATTCATAAATAGTCTTTGAACTTAACATATGATTATCTATTCTTTATAATCTTTCAGTTACTTATTCTAAATCTTTTCTATTGGAATCTATATGAGAGATGGTATCATTAATTTATCTTTAAATCATCTATTTACCATTTTATGCTATATTACCATCTTCAGATTAATTTTATTATCCTATTTATTCATCTAATAAATCTTTCTTTTCTTTTAATTCATCTGATACTTATTTTAATTATCTATCAGCTATTTCTATTTTCTAATCTGTTCTTTCTTTATCTGTTTAATATGTTCTTAATGCATGTTCTAATTTAATTTTCTCACTTTCAATAGTTTCTTTTTATCTTCTAGTATTTTAGACTTATTTTTCTAATGTATTAACTAATTTTTATTTTTCCTTGTATTTTTCTGTAATTTACTCATATTTATTATTTCTATTTTATTCTTACAAACTTTGTATTTTTTCTTAGATAGCAGATATTTCAGCATTTTCATATCTCATCTTCTCTTCTTGATTACTAATTTATTCATTAATAATTTATAAATCATTTTTCTTCATTCTCAAAGTCTTAGCCTTTTAATAGTAATCATAACTAAAAAGATCCTTTTTCAAAACTAAGATTTATGCTTCTTATGCTCTCCATAATTAAAATATATTCTTTTCATCTGTTAATTTTTACATCTAAGGTTAAATTTCTGCTTCTATAATTTCATTTACTTATTTTAACTTTTCTTCTTTCTTTTGTATTAATTTCTAAGCTTCTCTTTTTTTCTCATTATATAATGATGTTCCTGCTGTTTCTTCTAACATACTAATTAGTTCTTATGGTTTAAGATTAATAATCTTTGTTATTCTACCTTATGCTACTAAAAAATGAGGATTATCTATATTCAATTGAACTGATCTAAACATATTTTTGAAGTTCTTTTAGGTTTCAGATTTTCCATTAATAAAATATTTGGATTTATCAGCTGTAATCTATCTAGTTACTGTTAACTTATCACAATCTTAATATCCTAAAGGACTCTATTCTTTATTGCGATTATCAAACACTATTGTTACTTCAGCTTTTGTAATTCCTGCTGCACCATTTTTATATATCAATTCTTATAATTTCTTAATACGTAGCTAATAACTTATAGAATATTAATACTGTATCGTATTCTTTACTCAATCCCAGACAGAAGAGAATTGCATCAAGAATATTAGATTTACCTGATCCATTCAATCCAGTTATGGCATTGAATTCTGGATCTAGATTTGTTATTACTGTCCTTTATGCATAAGACTTGAAGCCCTCTATAATGATTTCTTTGATCCACATAATATTTTAATTTAAATTTTTGCCCGGTTTTATTATATATATATGTCACTTAATTGTAATAATTTGGGTTGGTAATGTTTTCTTCTAACTTATTGATTCTATAATAATTGGTAATCCTCGTAATTCTACCAACTTATTATAAACATTTAACAAGAAAGTTGCATTATATGAATTGCTAGTGTCAGGTATCTTCATGCCTTTGCTCAAACACTCGAATGAATAATTAACATAATCAAAGAAGATCATCAATTTATCATTTGGTAACTTTTAAAGCAATTCCTATATAAATTCTCATTATTTTTACCCCTGAAACATTTTGAACTGTGAATTTGCATAAAGCTTAATGAAATTTTGATAAAGCGAGTAACTTAATTTCCTCATTCTACACTTTTTAAACAGATTTTAATAATGTTGCAGAAACATTTCCAACCAAATCTCCTGGAAGTTTAAGCTATTTTAATTCTTCTGCTGCCTCTATATCATAATCTTTCTATGTTTTCTTAGTCTTTTCTTAATCCATATCAATATATAATTTATTTTTTAATAAACCATCTAATTAAGATTGAATTTACACTTATTCATTATTCATATAAATAAAAAATACCCCAATATACATCAAAATTCATATATATAATAAAATATTTAAAATTCGTTATTTGTTTCTTCAAAATTTTATTCGAATTCATTTTGTATAAAAAATTTAATAAATTATTAATAATTTTTATGCAAGTTCAAAATTTGTGTCAAATTTGTTACGAATAGACTGAAATATCATTGTTGGAATGTAATTGCAAAGTGTGTCTATAATGTATTAAACATTATACAAAAGTATATGAATTATTTTTAATTAGATAAAAATAGAAGAATTTTGGACATCTGATGGTACACATTTAAACATTGATTGTCCAGGAGGGTGTAAGTAAACTCTTTATTTTGATTCTATCCAACAATTAGCCATCTAAAATTCTTTCATTTAAGATATTCATGAACAATTATTTAAAAGCTATTGTAGAAAATCTATAGATGTATAATAATGTCCAAATAATAATTGTGAATTCTATTATTTAAAACCTTGTAAGGCTAATTGTGTTGATATTTGTGAAATCTGTTAAACTCGATTAGAAAATTATGAATAGATTTCATTTAAAACTCTATTGAATGAAATTACTGAATTTATTACTACATATTAATGTCCTAGATGTGAAGTTAAAATTACTAAAAACGGTGGTTGTTCACATATGACATGTTAAGTTTGTAAATTTGAATTTTGTTGGGATTGTAAATAAAATTGCAAAGACCATGATTGGAGTATTTGTATATATAATAATATATTTACACTAATCATCAAATACTAACTTCTTTATACTTTATTGATTTCTATAGGTTTCGATGTCTATTTATTATAAATATTTGGATATGTATTTTCAATAACATACTTGTACATTATTATTACTAATAATTTAGATTTATACTCAATAATTCAATCCTATTATTATCTGGATTGATGTTAATTTAATTGAAGAAATTAAATGAGAAATATGAGAAAATCACATATCATAGAGTCATAGTTGGATCAATAACTTTGACTATACTCATTTTTATTTCCTACTTTATTTTAGAACAATCTCTTATAGAATTTATTTACTATATAATTAAGGAAATTTTATATGCAATAATCATTACAATTATTACTACTATTTTGAATTAGTTTTACAAATAGAAAATTAAGTTTAATTGAGTCTTTTTATATATATATATTTTATATTCATAACTATTATATTCTACTATTAGTAGTATTCATAATTGATTATAACTTATCTTTAAATGTGTCAATTAATTCTCTTGAAGTATCTGTTATCCAATAATATACTTTATTTATTATTTATTATTAAACAATATCTTCTGAACTCATTAGACTTTCTATTTTAATTGCTACATCATAATTCAATTCATTCAAACTGATTTCATATGCAACAACTTCATCCATTATTTTAGCCACTTACATAATTAGATCATATAATACATATCCATTAAGCCCCTTCAATAAATACTTGTTTTTTAATACTAGTATAATTTTCATCTGAATTCATTTACTAATTCATATCTTGTATCTTTTATTAAAGTTCTAAAATCAATTATTCCTTTTATTTGATCAAATTAAAACAATCTTACAATTAAGAGATATCTACTTTATCTTTACCATTCCCATTTTTTTATTTTTTAAGCCTTTCTATTTACTTTTATTATTGCATTCCATCAACTGTTGTTCTACTATCTAATTATCTTTTTAATTATTCAATTTCTTATTAAGATTATTACTTTAATTTAATTATTTTATCTTAGTAACAATTTTGGAATTAATTACTTAATTATAATAAAATTTCTTCTTTATTATCATAATCTTACATCAATTCAATACATTTAGTGGGCACCCAATTTCTATTAAAATATGATATAATTATATACACTTCATTTATTTTAGATTTTCTAGTGTCAAACTTTACACTTCCTTTGATATAAGATTGACTTTCATCAAATCCTATGTTATTATATTCTTTTGTATTTTTTAATAATTCAAGCAATTTTTTTACATCAATTCTCAACTATTCATTCTCCAACCTTATTAATTTTAAACTTTCTTTATCTGCTTAAATTGAATCTATTTATGATTCAATCAATTCCAATTTCTATTTCATTAACGAATTTTCAATTTTCACTTACTCTAATTCATCCTATAATTATGAATTTTCATCATTAATTTAATTCAATTACTATTAAGCAGTTATTAATTTAGTATTTTTTTAAAACAATTCATCTTGTAAAGCTTAAATTTAAACTTAATAATTTTTAGCTGCATATGGGCTATTAATTGTAATTTATTATGGAGGCTATTACAAAATATCTGAATCATCATGTTTAGATTCCATACGTTATCTATTTATTAAAATATCATAATACTTAATATTTTTCCACATAGTTTATAATGTTTCTATTTCATTATCTGATTCTGTTTTCATTTTATAATAAAATATAATTTAAATTATTTTATTTCTATATATTTTATAATAAAAAAACTTTTGTATTATAGAAGATATCATAAGATAATCTCACTCTTTATTAATTAAATATTAACCATACTCGTTCAAACAACATTATTAATTATCAATTTAACAAAAAATAAATCAAATTTATTAATACAAAAAAAAATGTAAAAATTATTTGGTTCCACGTATGATTATCTAACTATTAGTCCAAATTAAGCTAGAGCAATAACTCATTCTGGTATTTCTATTAATTATAATTTTTAGCCACTTATGTAAAAGAAGGAACAGGAAAATAAGCTATTAGAAAGATATATGGTAATGGAGGTGGTGGAGTGCCATTTGATTAATATGAATAATAAATGTTAGGCTAATTGAAGACAAAATTAAATGGATTAGCTAGGTATTTATTTATGTGAATATAATAGTCATTATCCTGACACATTGTTATATCGATTCTTGTATTCATTTCGTTTTGGTTTAGAGGAAACCTATAATGGAATAAAGAGTCATGAAGAGTGGTTGAATAATCCTTCTACATTCTAATTAAATAGTGGATCATAAGCTATTTTGGTAATTGTTTGAGATTGAATTCTAGGACAAAGGAATTATTTATATGGGAGGCAGAGATAAAAAATTTAGGCCATCAGTGATTTTCTAAGTGGGTTTAATTGATTAAAAGAATATCAAAGGTGAAGAATTCTTAGCAGCATTAAACACCGTTTTTATGATTACATAGCAATATTGTTTTTATGAAGGATTCGTTGAAAATTGGATAATTTTAATTGATACAGCTGAATTAGGTCTATTAAGCTTGCCTATAGAAATATTAAAGAAGATTATTTCAACAGCTGCTGCCCATTATGTAGGAAATTTAGAAAAACTATATCTGTTGAATCCATCAATGGGTCTTAATATGTCCTGGAGTTTGGTTTCCAGTAAATGAATTCATTAATATTCTTAGAATTTATTGATGAAAGATCAAACAAGAAAATACAATTTCTGTAAAAAAAAGATTTCTCCAAATTACAAGAATATTTTGATCCAAGCTAATTAGAAGTATAATTTGGTGGAACAATGCCTAAGATTAAATAGTATTGGCCTCCATAACCTACAATTCAAATTGAGAAACCTTAAGAATTGTAATAATCATATTAAATTCAAAACTATGAACCAAGTGTTAAATCATAAAAATCTAAGAGATCAGAACCATATAATCAATAAAAGTATTAAACATATTAAGCTCCATTTAAGAAATCATAACAAGATTCACAAACTCTTAATTTATAAGAATCATTAAAATAGGAATATTTTGATTCTAAATTGAATTTACCTGTAGTTTAACCTACTTAATAAGCATCAAATAAATTAATATAATCAAGATAAACAGAAGAAAGACCATCTTAATTAACATAAAATTTTGGTTATGAAAGTAGTATATAAAAACCATAGAGATTGGAGTTTTAGAATGTGAATTCAGAGTCATCTAGAGAGATTTAGCATATATCCTTCTAAGATTTCCATTTTGCTTCATAACCATAAAGCAATCAATAATCAAATTAAGGAAAATAAAGTTATAGATAAAATATAGAAGAGAGACAACTTTCTAAATTTCCAGTTATTGAAGAAGAACCATATGAAAGAAAGAGTTAATTTTTATAGTAATCTAATGGATATCCTAGTGAATCAAAAAATTTTGTTGAAGAACCTTTAGATTCAACTCGTTTTAGACAATCTTAATCATTAAGGAAATCAAATAAATAATATCATTTTAGTAAATAGGAATTTCATCCTCCATATCCAAATGCATTACCTTCAGGACCTGTAATTTTAGGGGCTACTGAAAATTATGAAGATGATTTTCAAAAGAAAGAAAATAAAAAAATACCCCAATCTAATTATTAATAACCTAAACCATAAGAAATCAAATAATATTAAACAACATAATAATAAGCAGAATTATAACCACCACCATAGACTGGTATATTAAAAAGAACAGCATGTTTCTAAGCAAGAGATGGTAAATACACAGCTTGTGATATATTTTGATTTTTGTGATACTCATAAATTTTACAAAGTTTTATTTATATTTTATAATATTTTTCAGTAATACAGAGCTAATAATCATTAAAATTCTCCCCATTCATCATCTTCTGTTCCACCATATAATGATATCTTAATCTCTTTTATTGTTGGTCTTTTCTTTGGATCCTATTATAACATTTTTTAAATTAATGTCACAGTACTAATTGAAATTTAAGATTATGGAATTTCAAATATCGCTTATGCAATTCCAATTTTGTTCTATTCTGAAAATGCTGATTTACGAAAACACATACTATACAAAATACATCCCAATTACCATATATCAACTTTTGTATCTATTACCTATCTTGTTAATACATCTATCATTTCTGGTGGTCTATATGTAATAGTTGTTGTTTAAGAGAACACTTCTTCTTATTATTATAATTATGCTTTATTTAATTAACTAAGATCAATGATTTCATTGGATGCTGATCCAAAATCACATAATTTAAAGATTTCTCCTTATATAAGAATATTTTCAAGTTTTAAATCTCTATGACTAATCTATTCTGCATGCAATACTTCCAATCCATCAAGAATTTATTTAAATATTTCTATTATTCTTCTTTCATTTAATACTTCCTATTATAAAACATTAAATAAGTTGTTTTAACATAATTCCATTACTAAACAAATAAACATTTTATTTTGTATTTTTATTTCTCCAAAATCAATTATTCTTACAATATTAGGATGTTCTGGTAATCTTGTCTATGTTAAATAATATTTATACCATTATTCTTATTTCTTACATAGCCATTTTATAGACTTCTTAAGATTAAATGAATATTCTTTTTATAGCAAAGTTCTCACATTTCCAAATATATGCATATCCTCCTTCAGCTATTATGTATTCTTCTTTATATTTTCGATTTCTTAATTTGTAATTTTAAGCTTTACAAACAGGGTCAGATTTTCTGGTTAAACATTTGAGCATTTCAAATAAACAATATAATAATGATCATATGTAATTATAAACTTAAAATATATTATTATTTGTATTGCAAAATAAAGATTCTTGATATCTATTCAATTTTATTTACAAATCTAATTCTCTAAAATCTTTTAAAGTTCTTAATCAGGCAAGGATTATATGAAAATTGAGTATTTATTATGTAATATAACAATATCAATAATTATTAAACAAAATAAAATAAAATTCTATTGATGATATAATTTAAGAACCTTTAAAGAAAATAATAATTCTTTATTAAAATAACTTGTAAGTTTGATAGAATTAGAAACATTAAGTTAAATTAGTGGTAATTTAATTTTGATATAATTTGTATTTAATATTAATCAACATTATTATCCTCCTCTTTATTAGATATTGGCTGTTATAGTACATTTTGGCACCACTCCTTATTACATCAATGGAATTTAGGGTTTTAAAATTTATTATCCACATTAGAATTAAACCTCCTCTGATCTAATTTATAAAAGCTCTTAAATCTTTTGACTCAAATCTTCTGTTGTCCAAGTTTCTTCAAAATCTATTTAGTAGCATTTATTCATGATAGGCACCATCAATGTAAGTGGATAACTTACTCGAATTATTATTAATGAACCTTTAACAACATTCTATTATAATAATGGTTTGTTATTAATTAAAGGTTGATTCAAATAATAAAATTTGAGTTTCTCATCATTATTGAAAAATTACTCTTTAAATTCCTATTCTAATTAAGATGGAGTGACATCATTTGTGATTTCTATATTATATCTTTTATTTTTTGAGGGACATTCAATTATTATATTCACAGAGTCCATAGTCTTTATAATTAATTATATTTTTATTAATAATAATGATAATTATAATAATAATGATAATGATAATAATAATAATAATAATAATAATAATAATAAGAGTATGAAATAAAATTTGCCTCAATAGAGTTCCATTATTTTTGAATTATGCGATTAATTTTAAACTTAACTTCTAAATTTTAAGAACAAGATAAAAACATAATTATAACATCTGGATGATTTGATAAATTCAATAATAGAACTAGTTTAAGAAAAAATAAATCAAAATATAATAGAAGAGAATGATATCATAGAAGATGTTTTTTTGTGTTGTTAAGCATTTATAGAAAATAAATTAGATGATTGTTTGGCTATGGTAAAAAATTTAATCATTTAAATTTAAATATCAATATAAAGATCAAAGTAATAGAATAATAAATAAGGAACTTTAATAAATTCTAATTAATATGAGTATATGGATTTTTATGATCAGAGCACATAGTGTTCATCTAGTAATATTAATAAATATGAATTAAAATAAACTATTAAATAAAAAGAAATTTGTTTCTCTCTTATATTTAACAGTTAAAATTCCATAATGATTTCAGGATGTGGAGAAAACATTAAATAATGGAAAATAATTAATGGATTAATTGAAAATGATCCTCTTATTTTATATGGACATACAAAATTAGTAACTTGTTTAATTTATACAAATGATGATAGATGTTTTATATCTGGAAGTGATGATGGAGATATTAGATTATGGAAAAAAGTATAGCCTAATTAATGGTAATCAACAACCTTAACTGTTCATCGTTAAGGAGTCATAGGAGTATTATTTAATAGTTAAAATTAATAAATTATAAGTTTTGGTAAGGATCCTTTAATCAATATTATCAAATTTGGTTAATAGAATTTAATGTAGATTAAATAAACATTGAATAAGCATTAATCTATTCTTAATTGTCTTTGTATGAATGAATCAGAATCTATTCTGGCTTCATCAGACTCTCAAAAAAATATAATGATTTGGGTTAAAGATAATAATGCATAATGGCAATTCAAATAAATAGTAAATTAATCTACTAATGATTATTTTTGTAGAATGGTATTTATAAATAATTATCTTATCTGTTAATAATGGAGTAAGCCTATTTCATAAGTGTTTGTTGAAGTTAATGGATAATTCAATTAAAGACCTGATCTTTAAATTCAATTAAGTGAATAAAATTAAGACGACGAAGACTTATTTCCAACAATTTACAATAAAAAGAAAGGCATTTTAATTTAAAAATATGGGTAATATGTTTATATTTTGAAATAATTGAATAATTGTTAATTCAGTTAAATATGTCCACCTATAAATTGTATTGATTAATATAATTATGGAAATCTTAATAAAGATGGAAATATTTTGATTATTTGGAATTATAAGACCATGGAGTTCCGCAATTACGATTTGAGTTTATTTTGAAAATTATATTTAAAACCCTAAATGTGAGGGTTGGAATAATTCAACGAAATATTTATGAATATTGTCCATTCTCTACCTTAAATCCTTCTATTAACTAATAATTAATCAAAAAATCACAATAAAAAAATTAATACGATTCATTTGTTTATCTATTATATTTCTATTAGAGCAAATGAATCATTTCATATGGTGAAATTAATTAGGTGTATATTTTGAAGTATTTTTAAAGTTGATAATCATCTTATTTTATGTTATTTCTATTAGAGAATTTAAATCATGAATAAAAAAGTATATTATTCTATCATGCTATCATTAAATTCAAAGATGAAATCATAGAAATATTTATTAAAAATTAGAATAATAATGACTATCATATAAAATTCATTAATAAAATGTTATTTATTTTAGAATTGAGTCTGAGTGTACTTTTAGTGAATTAAGCTCTCACTTTGTAAATATGATAAGTAATCTTTGATCTTCTGTTTCCTCATCATAAAAGATTGGCTTTTGTATAATTTGAATAAAAATTCGAATAAATTCCTTAAGTCGATCTATCTCTAATAGCATTGCACATTAATAATGAAGTACCAAGAAATATAGGAATTGAACCTAAAGAACTATAAATTACTCAATAAGGTTTGATAAATATTCTATTAAGGATTTTAATTTTAGATAAATAATCATAAATCACATATTGATCATCTCGAATATAATTATAATAATCAAACATTTATAATATTAATGGTTAGCAGTGATTGATGATAGATTAAAAGTTAATTGTGAAATAAGCTAAAAAAGTACAACAATCAATTTTGGAAGGTATAAATTAATAATATAAATATTAAAGAGAATTTTGGATGACTCAAATAATTTAAATATTTTTAGCAGGACTTAAAAAGAATCATAAAAGGGGATTTAAAGTTTTAATTATAGATAATTAAATAAGAAGTTAATAGTTTTGATGTTGCTTTGAATAATTGATCTGAACATATTTTAAAAGACATAAATATTTGGTATAAAAATAAAATTATTATATTTAGTTATATAGCTGGATCATAAAATGTTGTTGAATCAAAATCCTTAATAAATATCAACTAAAAGACTGATGAATTTGTAGATTTGGAAGGAACTCCACAAAATTTAATTTATGGAGTAAGTAAGATCTCTAATTTTTATGGAGCCTTAATGATTCAATTAGGATAGTTTTAATATTAATAAGAAAAGCCTGGTGTAGGCATTAGTAATGAATATTTATTAATTAGGTTAAATTGATATAACTTTGGGATTAATATAAAATGATGGTATGTTGTGTCCATTAGGGTATTATGAATATAATTTCAATGGAATATCATTGCTTTGTGTGAAAGTACTGGTGGTTCTCAATCTTGGAAAAAAATTAAGTCTATAAAGAGTAGGAAAGGATGGAATGGAAAATTTAAGATTGATAGAAAGAATTTAAAGACTCATGATGCTAATTGCATTTAAGATATTTAATTATATTTAGAAGCATGAAGATAGTTTAATAAGATGTATTGAAAACAATATTTTATTTAAATAATTAAAATTAATTCATGATTATTCCTATTAGATGTTTTACTTGTGGAAAGGTATTGAAATGTTAATTGAAACAATTAGGTAGTTGGTCATTTATGGAATGATTATGTTTAATTACTATAAGATGGTGTAACAACAGGAGAGTCTTTAGATAGATTGGGTTTGGAGAGATATTGTTGCAGAAGAATGATATTAACACATGTAGATTTGATAGACAAATTATTAAACTATAATAGTATTTGTTAAGAGTATTTTTAGTTTACAAAACACTGTGAAGTTCTGAATTTTTATTAGCAAAATTTTAGTTCATTATTATTTTATATATATAATTCATATAATATATAAATTGATATTATAATTTAGTCTTATAAATATATTCTTTAAATAATTAATTTAGTATATTTCAAAGTTTATAATCTTTATATATAAAATGATTTATAATGACAAAAATATTTGAAATATTCTTCAAATGTATAACATGATTTGAATTTAAGAGAAAAAAGAATTGTTTTAAATAAGTTTAAAATAAATGATTCATTCTTGATACAGAACTGATTTTATTATTTTTAGAACCTTATTTAAGGATAAGAATGGAGTATATATTAAATTTATCATCAAATTCAGAGTTATTGTGTTAATTCCAATTCCAATATTTTATTAGGAGTTTCTCTTTGAATAAATGGGCTGTTTAACTTAGGTATGAATGATCTCTTTAGATTAAAGTAATCTAGCAACTAAGAATAATTAAATTAATAAATTTAAGAAGAGGAACTCCTGTCGCAACTCAAAAATTGTCTTATTCAGTAATTCTTTCACTCAACTTTTCAAATGCTAAATAAATAATCAAATGATATATGGAATGTATCATTCAGGATAGTATTAAAGATGCATAATACAACTGTAATAGAGTAAAAAAATAATCAAGGAAAGAATAAATCATTTTATAAAAAGTAATTGCATGAAATAAATTAGGAAAATTTTTGAAGCATTATAATTGTTATGATCCTTATGATATATATATAAATCGTTGATTTTTATTAGTATTAACATTAATATAAAATTATATACACATATGTTGAAAAAATTACTTATATTGATTGCATCACTCAATTGTGTTTTCAATTAAACTTTAGATTGTGTAGGAATGATTGAGACATCATGTACAGCTGCTGGGTATTGCTTTTGGACAGGATCAGCTTGCTAATTGGCTGAATGTCATAAAGTTAGTGATATCAGAGCATGTAGATCTAGTTTAAATGGGTTTTTGGTCGTGAATCATAAATGTACAGAGATACCCTCTATTAATTCAAACTTTCTGAATTAATGTATGGAATATGATTAGACCACAATGATGTATTCTTATGTAAGATTTCCTCCAGATATTTCTTAATTATCTTCAAGTCAAACAAGTGATGGTTATCTTGTGACAACAATAATGACTGCCAAATACACTTCAAAATACAAATTTGAGATACTAACAGTAAATATTTTAACAGCTTCCACATTATAATTGATGAATATTATGAATGCCTATATTTAGATGTAATATGATTTAGCCGATCCACAGATACACCCCTTATATTTAGAGAAGGCAATCTATGAATCTATGTAAGTCATTAGAGATGATGTTACCTTATCTCTTACTGGTACAAATAAAAGATAAGATTATTATACTTTATTGTGGAGAATGACAGATGCATACTTTTTAAAATTAAGATCATACCAGCCTTTCTATATTTCTAGTAAATATTTAATCAATTTTGGCTTTTCTCATTTCAATCGACTCTCCCTTACATTAATTTCTCAATATCAAACTACTTTAATCTCTTGGAGTACTTATAATGATAATGGATATTTGGAATTATTAGTAATTCCTGCAGAATAATTTGGCATCCTATCATCCTTATCTGATATTATTATAATTAGACCCTCAAATATAGATGGTAGCGATGCAACTCTATCTTATACTCTAAAATGGACATGGTCATATACAGGTACATAACCTACAAGTAGTGCTAATTTATATACATTTGATAAGATTGAAATGAATGGATTCACTTCTCAAGGTTCAGCAGGTTGTGATACATCTACAAAGACTTGCACTATTAATATTTCAAGTCAATCTACTACTTAAGCTTATTTAATTGCTGAAACTGCAATTACTACATAAGTAGCTTCTGGTAGATATTACACAAGATGTAGATTAGGACGTTTTACATGGAATGGATCATGTGCTTGAATATTAAAATCAAATCATCAGTTAAAATTAATTTTTCATTATCTTTATTTTACAATATCATTTATTACTGGTAACTTATACATTGTTCTTTGATAAAAATCTATAAAAATCTAATAAATTATCATATATCTAGTCTAAGCATTTAAGAGTCTATTAAATATTCATTTGATGATGTAATTAAATTAATGTATAAATATTGTCTTACATTTCTATTATTCTGGCTAGGCTATACTGCACCAGGCCAACTTACTTGTGATTCAACTAATTTCCCAACAGAAATTTTATGTAAAACTTCAGGCTATTGCAAATGGACAACAACGTGTGTTCCTTATACCATGCCGGATGAATGCTATAAAATTAATGAAATTGGAGCTTGTCGTCCTGGTGGTGTTTATGCAACACCAACAAATTGTTTACCAATTTCTTCTTTAAATGTACAATATGAAAATGTGTGCACTCCTAATAGCAATAATAAAATTGATTATAACTATGTTAGATTCCCTATTTCCAATACTGGATTAGCTACTCATTCACTTACAGGAATAACAGTGACAGATTTAAAAACCAAAACTCCACAAGCAGACTATTTATATTAAGTATTCACAGTCAACATACAATTGGCCACAAACGCTTAATTAAATGACATCTTAGATTTATATGTTATTTATGATGAGGAACTTGTTAAAACTACAACTCATCCATATTATATTGAAAAAGCATTATTCCAAACAATCTAAAATATTAGAGTATAGAATTATATTTAGTTTAGGATGATACAACTGTAGATTCTACCTTAAGAGGTGCAACATTAGTTAAGTTTTGGTAATTGGCTGACATTTTCTTATATAGAGTCAGAACCTTTAGCAAACATTATCAGACTAATTATTATATTTTAAATTTTGCTTAAACCACCTTTTCGAGATTGTACTTAACTATTAATGGTTAAGAACATACAACAACATTGTCATGGACATCTTACACAAAAAATGGATATGTTTAAGTGATTTCCTATCCAGCTACTTAATTTGGTATAGATCCAACTACTGCATTTAGTGATGTTTATTACGTTAAAATTATTGATGATTCACAACCAGCAACACCAACAACAGCACCTACACCATTTACCGGTTTATCTTTGACTGTCACTTACATTTATAGTGGCACAACATATACAATTCATCTCAATAATAAATTAGTAAAAATAGTAAATAAAGCTGCTGGAACCTATGCAGAAGATCCAGCAACTGTAAGTTCCGATTCCACTAATTCTAATATTGGCTCTAAAAAATTAGTATATGCTTTATCAGGTGCATCCGAATACGTATTTTATATAAAAGGAGTAGTTTGATGCATTTCACATTATTTGGATATAATTAAATTTATTATTTTTATTTTGGACATTATGAAATTCAATTGATTTTCATTTTAATCCATAATTTTCTTTATCTTAGAAAGAATACTATTTATTATATAATATATTAATATCTCATTTATAATTATATATTAAATATTTTATTGCGGTTTCGTTTAAACGTATGATAAAATAAAGTTTAAATCAATTGATTATCAGATTATATAAAATTACTATACAATATAATTAAATATAATTAAATAAATGATATGTTTTTCAGAAAGATAATTATAGAAAATCACAATTCATCAAAATAGACCATTCATTTAACTTCCATTGATATCCAAATCAAATGAAACACTTGTAATCATTAAATAAATTAAAATTTAAGAGATTAAAGAATAAGCCTTCAATAACTCAAAGAGATAAAAATTAAACAACAAATCAATCCTTAGAAAAAGATGCTTATTTTCTCAAATTACCTAAAATTCATCAAAAGAGTCCAGAAAAAACAGAAAACAATACTAAATTAATGCAATCCCATGTATCAACATAAAAAATGTAAATTATTTATTTATTTTTGAGACTTTAACATGATCAATCATTTGATAATTTAAAAAAATATAATAAANCTACCTTAAGAGGTGCAACATTAGTTAAGTTTTGGTAATTGGCTGACATTTTCTTATATAGAGTCAGAACCTTTAGCAAACATTATCAGACTAATTATTATATTTTAAATTTTGCTTAAACCACCTTTTCGAGATTGTACTTAACTATTAATGGTTAAGAACATACAACAACATTGTCATGGACATCTTACACAAAAAATGGATATGTTTAAGTGATTTCCTATCCAGCTACTTAATTTGGTATAGATCCAACTACTGCATTTAGTGATGTTTATTACGTTAAAATTATTGATGATTCACAACCAGCAACACCAACAACAGCACCTACACCATTTACCGGTTTATCTTTGACTGTCACTTACATTTATAGTGGCACAACATATACAATTCATCTCAATAATAAATTAGTAAAAATAGTAAATAAAGCTGCTGGAACCTATGCAGAAGATCCAGCAACTGTAAGTTCCGATTCCACTAATTCTAATATTGGCTCTAAAAAATTAGTATATGCTTTATCAGGTGCATCCGAATACGTATTTTATATAAAAGGAGTAGTTTGATGCATTTCACATTATTTGGATATAATTAAATTTATTATTTTTATTTTGGACATTATGAAATTCAATTGATTTTCATTTTAATCCATAATTTTCTTTATCTTAGAAAGAATACTATTTATTATATAATATATTAATATCTCATTTATAATTATATATTAAATATTTTATTGCGGTTTCGTTTAAACGTATGATAAAATAAAGTTTAAATCAATTGATTATCAGATTATATAAAATTACTATACAATATAATTAAATATAATTAAATAAATGATATGTTTTTCAGAAAGATAATTATAGAAAATCACAATTCATCAAAATAGACCATTCATTTAACTTCCATTGATATCCAAATCAAATGAAACACTTGTAATCATTAAATAAATTAAAATTTAAGAGATTAAAGAATAAGCCTTCAATAACTCAAAGAGATAAAAATTAAACAACAAATCAATCCTTAGAAAAAGATGCTTATTTTCTCAAATTACCTAAAATTCATCAAAAGAGTCCAGAAAAAACAGAAAACAATACTAAATTAATGCAATCCCATGTATCAACATAAAAAATGTAAATTATTTATTTATTTTTGAGACTTTAACATGATCAATCATTTGATAATTTAAAAAAATATAATAAATAAATAAAAGATATTTAATTAAGACATAATCGATTTCTTAACAAAATTGAAGAGTTGTATATGATTACTAAATAGCAATAATGAAAACTGTTTTTGCTCTATTATTTGATTAATAATTAATTTAAAACTTATAAACTGTTAAATTTAATTCATTTAAATCAATAATTTGAGTCACAAAAATAAGTATAATATTAAAAATGATTAAACAAGATTAACTTATATTAAACATCTTTTAATTTTACTTTTAAAATAAAACTTCATCTATTCATTATTAGAATTTTTCAATTATATTTTTAATTTTGAATCATAGTTTAATTTAATAAAGAAGATATATTAGGTTAAATCAAATATATTATTCAAAATAATTAAGTTACTATTTTTAACTCCATAGTTTTTATTTTTTTAAATATATTTGTCTATTCATATATAATTAATGATAAATTATTAATATTTATTAATTGATAAAAAAATAATTAAATAAATGAATAAATACACTCTTACATTTAGATGTGAATAATTGGAATTAAAGTATCAAGATTTTCGATATCTACATACACTTCCTATATGCAAATCTTTGAATCTAGTAAGTTTCTTGATGTGCTTATTTCGAAGTATTACTTTTATTTTTCAGAATGAAATGGTATGGTTTTTTATATTTCTCTCTTTAACAATCATAGTTATGTTAGCTTAATTCTTAATTTTTAATAACAAAAGAAAATGGGTAGATTATTATTTGCTAATTATAAATCATTTTTTGATGCTACAACAATAATACGTTGAGGATGGATTTGAACCATAAGAGGCCTTTGTATATGGTCAAAATCAAATGCTATTAAATATAATGATAATCCTAGTTTCTGATTTTAAGTTTAGTTCAATATCAATATTAGGCAATATAATAATAAAGATAGTAATATCAAAATATTATCAGCCATCATTATCTTATTAAACTATACTTTATTCTATAATAATTGGATTAATGTTTCTATATGCTATTTTTAAGATAAATTAACAATATCGATTGTCATTTTTATTTACTACTTAAGACAGCTAATAAGGTATTTTTGTAAATAATTATATTTTAAGAATAATTGATACCTTTATTAACTGATAGTCCATTTGTACTTTGTACATATGATAAAGATAATGTGTAATTTTAATAAAAATTCAGTAATCTTTAAAATCATCAAGAGTTTAAATAATTCTCAACGAATCATTAAGCTCTTAATTTTATCCTTAGAAATTATTCAATACATGGACAAACTTTAGAAACATTTTTGTTGACTAGGCAAAAGAAGTAAGATGATTTAATAGTTAATAAAATTTTAGAACTAAAATCAAACAATAATAATCATGTATAAAAAATATTTATTCGATATTCAGAATGTTTTATAACAGAACTAATTTATATATTGATAATTGATAAGAAAAGATAAGAGATTTAAAGTTTATAATAAAAATTAGCTAATTATGAATAAGGTTTGACTAAATTTTAAATTCATTTTAGAAATTTCTTAAAGAAACAAATTCTTATCTTAGATAAATCATTAAATCATGATTAAAATTCTATTTATTAAGCAATTACTAAGTTGATGTATATATTTTCAAAGTTTAAAAATAAAAAGTCTAGTAAAATTACAAATTAATCATTTTTATTAATTTTTAAAAAATATGCAAAATTATATTCATAAGCTTATGATTAAAAATAAATGAAAATTGAATTTTGTTAAGAAATTAAAGATATTTTCACAATTGAAAATACTTTAGATGAATTTATGATCAATTTTTTCACTCATCTTTTTAAAACAAAAGCAGATATAATCTAAATACATCTTTGTAAATCATTTTCTTAATAAAATGAATTTATTGATATAATTATCAAAGTAGATGTTATGTCAGAATTATATATCTTATTGCAAAGGAGTACAAATTTTAGAAGAATTTTAAAAATGATAAGTCCTCATGATTATGTAATATTAAATGATGATTGTATATTTATATAATATCTTTAGGTTTAATAGTGAGATTGTATAAAAATATGAATGAAATCAATCAATTAAGTCCTTTTTTAATAAAGTAAGATTAAAATAAATGAAATGATTCTGTGTTGTCTTATTTTCAATTACTACTATATTATAATTAAATTAATATTAATTTCCATAAAGATATACTTTATTGGAATAATATCATTTTTGTATTTAATAAGAAAAAATTAAACATATATCATTAATCAAATTTATTAACTTTTAGTCTTATAAAGATTATAAAAGTTCAAAGTATATACTTTATTTAAAATAAATAAAATTGTTTTATCTATTATATAACTTAAAATAATTAATTTTTATTTTTTGTAAATATTTGAGTTAATATATAAATAATTATAATTAATTCTAAAATCCTAGTATCTTTTTTTGTTAGAATAATATAAGATAGATTAGAATAAAATTCATAAGATCATAGATACTTAAATAAAAATTGTACTTATTGAATTGTTTTTAATAATATTATTGTTGTTCTAATATTAATTGGGTAGATATATTAATTACATTAATGTTTTCATAAATAAAATATAAGCAAATAGAAACAGAATTGACAGAAGTCTAAATATATCCATCATTAAATAATTGTAAAGAGTATTCAAATTAGAAAACAGTTTAACTTGGAAATAAATGCAAAGCTTTATTAATGCTTTTTTTTTATATTTGTTCCATTTTCACGTTAAATAATGAAAGTATTATTTTTATTGGAATTTATCTTTTAATGGTTATGAATAATAGAAAGAATATATGTGATTTTGTTTTTGGAATTTTAGCTTTGATTTTAAGTTTTGGTCATTTATTTTTTGAATACAATTTATTAGGAATGACTTAAATAATTATGAGTATAAATATTTTAACATTTCCATTTTCATAAAGAATGATAAGAGAAATTAAATTAGTTTGGTCTGAAATAATGAATTTAGCAATCACTATGTTTTTTATTTTATGTTTATGTGCATATTCAACTACTGCTTATTATTATGATAACAAGAAAGTTGAAATATTTTATGGTACATTTGGTAGATCAGTACTAACATTTATATAAGCATTAAGTTTAGATGATTGGGCTTAGATAGGAAGAGAATCAGATGATTTATTTGGATATTTTATATTGTGTATTTATATTCTACTTATGACATATTTCTATTTAAATATAATGATGGGTATATTGATAGAGACATTATAATTTGAGAATAAAGGTAATCATTTAGATGATCCATTTAATTATGAAATTAATTAATAATAAATATTATCTTAATTAGTTAAAGAATAGAATTTATTTGATAAATGTATAATTGGTAACTATTATCAATATATTGTATACATAATAAGTTTTGGTGGAATATTTATATCAATACTTGAACATTTTGATCATGGTGATAGTATAAGTGAATTAATAATTGAATTGATAGATGATGGATTATATACAATACATTTTATTATATTAATAATGAAGAAGGGACCAATTTATGATTTAGAAAGAAAAAATAAAACTATGATGTTATTACATTTCATAGCTGGGTAAATTATTATTTATTTATAAATAGTCCTTTATCATTAATTTATTCATTAATATTCCTTGAAGTTGGTTGTCTACTCAATTTACTTAAAATTGCAACTACTCCATCTGTCAAAGGAATCTTTGTAGGTACTATAGACATGTTACCATTTCTTATGCCTTAATTTACATAACTCTTTGGAATTATAATGTTTATAGCTAGTATTTTGACATCTAATTATTTTGCATACATAGGATTAAAATAATAATTGTATTTCTCATCATTTTGGAATTCTTTTTATACTTTAATATAAATTATGACATTGGATGGTAATATATTATATAATATTATAATAATAGATTGGGGAAATATAGTTGAACCAATGTATTCAAAGCATGGATATATAATACCATATATTATAATACCTATATACATATTTTTAAGTAATTTTATCATATTAAATACTTTAATTGCATTAAGTTGTGAATATTTTGTAGAAGTTAAATATTATTCTATTGAAAAAGAATAAAATTATGTTAGATGTTCTCAATTTGTTGGTATCGATGAATTGATGAATTATTGTAAATAAAATTAAAGTAATATATAGTATCATCATACTTAAGTGCACATTAATATTCCCACTGTCATTGTTAATCACCATGATTAAATAAGTTCCAAAATTAAATCAGACACCATTATATAAATTTAATATGGGAATCTTTAATTTAATGTTAAGGTAATATAATAATCTGAAGCGTTATGATTTAAATTAGATTATATGAGGATAACTTTATATATTAAATTAAATTCATTTTTATAAAAATGCAAACCTATTACA